CTGATGGGCAGGCTAGAGAAGGGCTGAGTGCTGGAGCTCTCTTGCTTACTCCAGCACGGACCATCTCCTTACAGCACTCTCCAAGGCTTCAGCTCAAGATAGTTGCTTTCCACGGTTTCCTCAACTTTACATGATACTGCAGTGCCACCTGGAGAGTCCACTGCATGTGCATTAAATCTACTTACCATGATCTCTAGGTCCGAATCACAAAGGACCTGTGCAGTGGAATTAATTTGTTTGCAGGGGGCAAGAAGGAAGCTTGCTGCAATTTCATGACTGAGGATTTCTCTGTGGGATGAAGAAACCTTTGAATGAAGGTTGAGCCAGGGAAGTCATCCCAGGTTGTTGCTCATGTATTATTTCACAGTAGCATCCATCTGTGTTTAGAAACAAACTCTTTTTATTGGCATTGTACTATATTTGGAACAGCACTTTCAGCTGTTCTGTCTTGTTTCCAAACACGGGGCATAATCACAGCCCATATTGTTCTGAGAAGAATTGAACGGCAGGTTAAGAGGGAACAAAAGAATAAAAACAGATTTTAGAAGCCTTTTTTTTGTTAATTTTGGAATCATCTGTGCGCATGAGTTTGACCTTGTCAGTCTTACTCAGTGCCTTGGGTTGGGCTGTTTTGCTTTCCCGAGCTTCGCTGGCAGCTTAACTTGGCTCTGCTGAGTTTTTAGTCCCTTTTTCTTTAGTTTTCATAGAATCACTGAATGGTTTGGGTTGGAAAGGACCTTAAAGACCATCCAATTCCATCCCCTCTGCTGTGGACAGGGCTGACAACCACTACATCAGGCTGCCCAGGGCCCCATCCAACCTGGCCTTGAATGCCTCCAGGGATGGGGCATCCACAGCTTCTCTGGGCAACCTGGGCCAGTGTCTCACGACCCTCTGGGGGGAACATTTCCTCCCAATATCTCACCTAAATCTCCCCTCTCTCAGTTTAAAACCATTTCCCCTTGTCCTGTCACTCTCTGCCCATGGAAAAAGTCCCTCTCCCTCCTGTTTGTAAGTTTGAGCAATAAGAAGTTGTCTGAAAACCTCTCAGAAATGGTATCTAGTCCATTTCTGGAGTGCAGTTCCCACAGCTCCAGCAGCAACCCGGTTGTGTAACAGCACATCAGTAACTAGCTTGGATACCATTGTTCCAAGCTCCCTTCCACTTGCCATGGCACCTCGCTTGCCCTGTCCAAGCTGGAGTCTGAACAGAGTGTTCATTACCTTCTTTAACGCTACCGGAGCGGGGGGCTGCAAAAGGCTGGGCAGGGGGGATATGTGTGACCAGGGGGGGTGGCTGTGGTAACTGCTGGATGATGGTGGCAGGCTGAGGCGGCATCTGAAAAACAAAGGGAAACCATCAGAGATGAAAATCATCATAGAATAGTTTGGGTGGGAAAGAACCTTTCCAGGCCATGTAGTCCCATCCCCCTGCAGTGAGCAGGGACATCTTCAACCAGATCAGGTTGCTCAGAGCCTTGTCCAACTTGAGCTTGAATGTTTCCAGGGATGGAGCTTCTACCACCTCTCTGGGCAACATGGAATGGGGTTTCATCACCCTCAGTGTAAAAAATTTCTTCCCTTACATCCAGTCTGAATCTCCCCTCTTTTAGTTTAAAACCATCACCCCTTGTCCTGTCACTACAGGCCCTGCTAAAAAGTCTGTCCCCATCTTTCTTACTGGCTCCCTTTAAATACTGAAAGGCCACAATAAGATCTCCCCGGAGCCTTCTCTTCTCCAGGCTGAACAGCTCCAACTCTCTCAGCCTGTCCTCACAGCAGAGCTGCTCCAGCCCTCTGAGCATTTTTGTGGCCTCCAAGAAGTCTGTGTTGGTTCTGGCCAGTTCCCTCATTTTTGGAAGGGGAGAGCAGTGGGTATCATCTGCCTGGACTTCAATAAGGCTTTGGACATTGTGTCCTATGATATCCTCGTGGAGAAGCTGTTGAGGTTGTGGGCTGTATGAGCAGACAGCGATGTGCATTGGAAATTGGCTGAACAGCCAGGCCAGAGCATGGGCAATCCTCCCACTCCTCTTGCTGCCTCCATTCCTGTGGTTAAACCATTCACACTGTTGACTTTGCACCTTACTGGTGTGACGATTTCCCTTAGATTTTGTCCCATATTACAGCAAGAGGTGTACCTTCCCTTTCAGTGGGATGTTTCCATACAGCCCAGGAGTCCCTCCACCTGCAGTTGTTGTCTCAGGCTGGCGTGGTGGCAGCAGTGTTTCCTAGGAGAGGGGATCCTTACCGTCTGCTGGATAATCCTTGGTGGCTCCACTTGGGGAGCTGGAAAAGGTATCTGGTAGACTTGTGGTGGAGCAGCTCTGTGGTTATGAAAGTGTCCTCCAGCTGGTGCAGGGGGCTGTGAAAGCTCTTCCAGAAGGTGCTGCTCCTACAAAATCAAGGATGTTCTTAAAGAAAACCTGGTCATGGGAAGGCAGATGGTATTGTTACACTCTCTGGACTAAATCTGGCCTTTCTCACCAAAACACTGCTGCAGAAATGTCCAGCACTGCTGTGTCTGAGGGGCAAACCACAAGTGATGCTGCACAAAGGGAAGCACTCAACGGGGGACTGTGTAAGGAGGAAGGAAGTTTTTCTTCCCACATATCTCGAAGCCATAGAGTTTTCAGTGCAAGTAAAAAAGAATGTAAAAAAAAAGTGAAGGACAAACTGCCAAAAGTTTGGGAAAATATTTCATTAATGGTTGGGACCCTCCACAAGCTGGGAATAAATAACAGTTACTATTGTCCCTAATTTGGCAGCGTTAAAAATACCTTTTTTTTTGCATTTTCATAGAATCACAGAATCCCAGACTGGCCTGGGTTGGAAGGGACCTTAAAGCTCATCCAGTTCCAACCCCCCTGCCATCAGCAGGGACACCTTCCACTAGACCAGGTTGCTCAAAGCCTCATCCAACCTGGCCGAGAACACTTCCAGGGAGGAGCAGCCACAGCTTCTCTGGCCAACCTGGGACACTGGCTCACCACCCTCACACCAAACAATTTCTTCCTCACATCTCAGCTCCATCTCCCCTCTGCCACTTTCAAGCCATCACCCCTTGTTCTGTCACTCCCTGCCCTTGGCCAAAGTCCCTCCCCAGCCTTCCTGGAGCCCCTTCAGGTACTGGGAGGCCACTAGAAGGTCTCCCTGGAGCCTTCTCTTCTCCAGGCTGAACAGCCCCGACTCTCTCAGCCTGTCCTCACAGCAGAGCTGCTCCAGCCCTCACATCATCCTGGTGGTCTCCTCTGGACTCGTTCTAACTGGTTGATGTCTTTCTTGTGTTGGGGCACTACCTCAGGGAGTTTATGATACAGCAGTTCAGGACAAACAGAACCAACCCACCAACTAACTGAAGCAGGTGCAAGCTTTGCTATCTGTAGTGAGGGAAGATGTGCTGCTCTCCTGCCCCTCTCCCTGCTCAGCTGGCCCAGCCTCTGTACTCCCAGCCAGCAGAGGACTGAATACTGCCCAGCCAAAGAACTAGAGGATGGGAAAGAAGTGAATCCACGTTGGCAGTGGATGTGCAGATAACCTGGCTCCTTCTGTTGTTTCTGTCCACAGAAACAGGGTGGAGGGCTCTTACCCTAAGATCCTGCAGAAGATCTTTCCTTCGTCTTAGGGCACTTTGGAGCATATCCTCACATCTGTTCCCTGAAGGAGGAAAAGTCCATTATCTTCTCAAAGGGTCACAAAGATAAAGCTATTGTAGCACCTACATTATGAGATTAATTTTGGACAACGTGTTATAAGGTAGCTCGATTTCTTCCACAAAAGACTTCAGGCTCCTTTTCATGTCGTATCCAGAAATGGGTAATGACTTTGATGCCACATGGAGACTCAGCGCTCCAGCAGCTCCACAAAGGCAATGCACATTGTCTGAAAATAAACTGCTCTCTAAGGTCCTCTATTAACTTCCTGGCTTAGAAATTTGTTTCAGCCGGAAATTTCCTAGATATACTCTGCACACGCAGAGGATGATTGGGCAAAGTGTACAACAAGTTTGTGGTGGCATATTGCAACAAACTCAGTTCTGAATGTCAACTTTTCTGTTTCTTTTTTGCTCTGAATCAATTTTCTTTCCAGTTCTTCCCATATTTTGAACTCACGTGAAATGAAAATAGGAAAGAACTTCTTCAGATACATTAGAGGCGTGCCTGGCATCTGCTCTGAAAAGCATCTCTTCATATTTTGAAACTGCTGTAAAAGGGATTTTAAATTTTTAGCCACAGCATTGAAAGCTTCCACCTATTTTTGTGTCAGTTCAATGAACATAAGCCCAGAGAACAATCTAGAAATAGAAAGAAAATAGAAAAAGAAATCTGATCTTCTACTGGTAGCCTTTAATCCATAGATAATATAATTACAAACACTGCGTGTGCCATGCAAAGAAATGAAAGCACTGCACGTAGCAGGTGTGGCTTCCATGGGAATGTTGTTGAAGGGAACACACTACTTGTACATGAAAGGTCATAGCAGTCTTTGAAAGGGTTCAATAAAGACACAAATTATTTTAAATTCCCTTATTTATCAATTTTTAGTTGGTTCACTAGCTTGTATAGAGAGTTGTTTAAACTTAGGAAGTTTTATAAGCATTCTGGGATTCCTGACCTGTCTGCCCAAACCAAAGTCAGGATGTGATTACACATGCATGGTCTCCTGGTAAAATGGTTTCCCAGCTCTTATCAACCCAGTCCTCAAGAACAACTCTTTCAGTATAATGATTTCTTTCATAAGCTGAGTCATGGTTTTTTTTTTAACACCAGAAACCATGTTCTGGTCTGCACGAGGCTGCGTTGGTCAGGTTCAAAGGTGCAAAGCAGCGTTAGTGGTGGAGCCTTCCTCCTGCCTGGATCCCCCAGGGACACACGGTTGTCCTAACGGCTCCTTTTCAGGGTCACCAAAGCCAGGCACACAGCTGGACTGCAACAGGGGCTCACTCCTAGGTGTAGGAGCTAGGGCAGACAGGGACACCAGCAGTTTGCTCCAGCTGAACCACCATCCACAGCTGAAAGGCTGCAGAGGACATCTGGGCAGGAGGACATTCTTATGTCAGTGCTCAGCTGGCTGATCATTTCACAAAATCAGGGAATCACAGAATCGTAGTGGTTGGAAAAGACCTTGAAGATCATTGAGTCCAACCATAAACCCAACACTGCCAATCCCACCTCTAACCCATGTCCCTGAGCACCTCGTCTGCCCGTCTGTTAAATCCCACCAGGGAAGGTGACTCCACCACCTCCCTGGACAGCCTGTTCCAATGCTTGAGAAAGTCAAAGAAATTCAAAAGATAAAATGTAGATAGCTGCACAGTAGAGCAAGTCCATTCTCCTTGCATCAAGGTCTCTAAGATTCCCCGGCTTGGTTAGGACCAAGACGAGTGTACAGACTGATATGACTGCACAAGCTTCACTGGAACTTGCATTTTTGGTGCTTCAGATCCCCAGGGCTGCACACAGATTTAGATACACAAAGCTGAGCTGCCGCAGCACTGACTCCAGTTCAGAGGTCCCCTCCTGCCCTCCAGACAATGTTCCTATCACAGAAGCCAAGACAGAGCAAATGCTGACTACCCAAATGTCCAACCACACAGCTTTTAAGGAGGAGATGTGGTGTGACCTACTGAGGAACTCATGCCTGAGAACACCACTAAGCCCTTTCTGTATTATGTCCATAATTAGAACAAATGCTTCTCTTTTACTTGCAGCTGGGAGAGGTGACTCCATCTTCTCTAGGTTCTCCTGTTCATTTTCTAGTCTCTGTTGGTAGAACCACAACAAGAACTGGTTATGAGTCAGGCAGCAAAGCTCACAAGCTCACAAATTTCCAAGAGTACCTTACAGGCATAGGTTTGGGATGGAGGAAAGAAAGCAGAAGTGGAGACAAGAAATGCTTCTTAGCTGCTAAATCACTACAAGTGAGGGCTACAAGAAGCATTCACATAAGTATGAAATGTCTCAAATCTACTACAAATCTAGTTCCTGTAAAAGAACAGTCATGCTTCCAGCTGGCCAGGCTACCCCAGGCCTGGAAATTGATAGCATGGTCAATCAGGAGACTTATACGTCATTTATTTTGTAAGGCAGAGGGCTGGACCATATGAATAACTTGGTGCTGGACAGTTTGGGGTATTCAGTGCACTCATAGGTCTAAATGGCCCTGACCAGCCACATCCAGGGTTTCCAGCCACACCCAGGGTTTCCATCCACTGCTCATGTGCCCAGGAGTCCCTTTAATCTCAGCTCTAGATCTTCAGTTCTTACCTGAGCTACAGTGGATGAGTATTGCTCTGCAGTTCAACCACAGCCATGCCTGTGACTGGCCATGGATCCTATTAACCCTGATCCCAACCTGCAGATGCCTCCCAGGTTGTCCTTGGAACTGCCTCATCACCATGAGCTTGCCTGATAGATCTGGACTTCTGGTTGAACCTGGCCACTACCTCTGGCTCTGCCCTGCTTGCCTTGCCAGCCCCCTGCCCTGCTGCCTGCATTATGGAGCTCAGCTCCTGGATCCTTAGGGAGGCAGCTGGCTCTTGTTGCTCCCTGATGCTCAGAAATTAGAGACCTTTCACTCACAGGCTCTTTTCTTGGTTCTCCATGGCTCCACACTGCTGGAAGGTTTTCCCTCAAATGGCTGTGACATCTAAGACAAAGGACTCCACTGTGGAGACAAGTTAGATGCCACCTCCAGCATTCATATCACCAGGCAAATTGGTTTTCCTTCCAGACAACTCTTCAAGTGTCTTCTAGAGGACACTGAAGCAGAAGATCCACAGTAGTGGATGTCAGATGCGCTGAGGGTGGAGGAACAGGGTTGAGTGAAGGAACAGGGTTGAGTGGAGAACTCTGGGTGCATTCATGTGTGGAGCCACAACAAAGAGCTACTGGGGCTCTGTGCAGCACCTTATGTGCTTCCAGTCAGCCCATGTTTCACCAGGTAGCATATCTTATGTGAAAGAGAAAAAAAAAGAAAAAGGAAATAAAATTGTCTTAAAACAATCTGAGGTCCTCTTTACCCAAAATTTACTCCTAAACTTTGCCTGTCACAACTCAAACTGTTTTTGAGCTAACTGGTGACATCTCCCATAGGATCAAAGACACTTTAACTCTATTTTTAATTTGCTGTAGGTCCATGTAAACTTGTACAATGTTATTTAAGAAAGTGACTGTGACTGTAGCACCACAGCACGTTGGTCTGCTGCTGCTTGCACAGAGAAAAAGGTTCTCAGTTGGCTGCAGGTCCTCTCAGTAGAAATATAATTATTTAAACTACAATGTTGATCTTAAACATGTGAGATCAAAAATCAGAGCAAAGGTGACTACTGCAGAATTATTTCCTTACCTTCTCTAGGACTTTGAGTTTCAGTCGTGTCAGGTGATCCACCACTGAAGCATCTGTCATTGTAGTCTCCTGGAAGAGTAGGCAGGTAAAAACAGGACAAAGAGCTAAGCAAAGGCAGAGAAGTTTTCAGTGGTCATTTTTTCCCTTCCATGATCTTCATAGTAGAATAATTCCCTTAGAGAAAAAAAAAAAACCAAACAAACCAAGATTGTGAGCAATTGAGGGAAGAGAAAAGCTTCAGTTGCTCTCCTAGGTGAAAACAAGCGCAGATGTTCACCACAAGGTCATAGACACAGCTTTTTCTGGCATTTCACTGCAGTTTTGTGCTGCTGGTCATACAGAAGGGTAACTTGGAGTGAATATTTGTCTGTTGTAATGGTTGCCAGCCTTTTCCCGGCACTGGCACTGAGCCTGGCCCTCTGTGTTGTTAGTGTCTTCCAGGTAGCTCCGAGTTTTGTGCCTGTAACCTGGTTGCTAAGTTTGTAACGTCAATCCACAATATAAACAGTTTTATCTCCAAGAGGAGAAGCTTATGTGCCTTTTGTAAAACAAATGCCCAGCACATTAGTAGACAAAAAGAAAATAAATAAAAGCCAGCGGTTCTCTAACACAAGCCCAGTGCTGGGGTTCATATCATGATCTTGCTGATTGCAATATTTATCCCCATATGCTTTTGATGTGGCTCTTCATATGAGTTTTCATCACGAGGTAGTATCTAAAAATACCTGGTCAGGTGGAAGGTGTCCCTGCTGATGGCAGGGGGGTTGGAACTGGATGATCTTTAAGGTCCCTTCCAACCTAGACCATTCTATGATTCTATAACTTACCTGGAACTCATCCCCGATGAGTAAAAAAGGCTGTGATATAACATCCTTTCGCTTACCATCTCCCAACCAATCTTCAGGGTGTCTCCCCCTTCCAGCAAAGCCCTACCAACATGAAAAACAGGGCAACATTTACCAGTCACATCCATAAAACCAACACCAAGGCATGAGAAAGAAGTCAGGTAACAGATACTCATTCTCAGCATCATATTTTAAGTCCAGTTCTTGGAGAGCGAAGTTACAATCTCTTCCTTACTTGAAGGCCACAGGAAAGCCACTGCTGGCAGCTGATAGGCGCTTGTAGGTAGGTGTGTGGAGCAGCACGGATCACCTCCTCCACCTCTGACACACACAGTATGTGTGTGTGAACTGTCCTTAAAAATAGATGGGCTGGTAGTCTCTGGAGAGGATAGAGAAACTGAGATGTGGGGATCCCAAAAATAGCTGTGCCGTGTTGGAGCTGGGGCTCAGCTTGCTTTGGCAGGGCTCATCAGTGAATGCAGAAGAGAAAACCCTCTCATCTGCCAGCAGTTTTCCTGAGAAACAGCTCTGTGTATATTTTTATACTTTAAAACCCCAATAGATTTTTCTCCCGTTACCTCTAACACAGAATGTTGTGAGTTGGAAGAGACCCCCAAGGATGATGGAGTCCAACTCCTGTCCCTGCACAGGACAATCCCAACATTCACACCATGTCCCTCAGGGCCTTGGCCAAATGCTGCTGGAATCTTGTCAGGCTTGGTGCCATCAGCACCTCCCTGGGGAGCCTGTTCCAGTGCTCCACCACCTTCTGCGATCCCTTCAACATCTTTGATCTCTTCATCCTTTGAGCATCTGCAACAACCTTTGACGAGGATTTCCCTAGTTGTCTTAAACTGAAGCATTACCCCAGTTAGGCGAGTAACCTGCGTAAGGTTAATTTACTCAAGTGTTAGGCCAAAAAGGCATTACAATTTAGACTGTTTTAAATCTGGATTCCTGAAAATTTAATTGGAAATTTTCTCATTTGTTATGTGAAATAGATATGACTCTTCTCCATGCACTATTTCCATACCATTTGTGACTTCTATTCCTGTGTCATATTCCCATTCAGATGGTGCTTTTCTAAGTGAGAGTATCTATTTAATTAATCCTCAAACATCAGATTTTCCTTACTTATTGATGTCCTAACTTAGCTGGGAAGTTAAAATGCAGGAGCCCACACAGACTGCCCTTGTACCCACCTCTTGGCCTCCACTACTGGCCGCTCAGCATCAGCTGCACCTTTGCTCACACTGTAACTGTATGTCTCTGTAGAGTCTCATGTTTATCCTGCTGCTTCCCTCTGTACTTTTCTAGTTCATCAACCCTTTTGTGATGGGGTGACGGGGGTTGTGGGCAGCATTCAAGCAGTGATGTAGCAAAGCAAGCTGTGTTGGCATCTCCAGACAACCCCAACAGCGACGAGCTTACTGAGTCATCGTTGATGCTGTAGTAAGCTTTTTGACTTGCTGATGAATGTTGAGCTGATGTTTTACCATCAGCTGGTTTAATAAAGTGTCCTCTAGAAGTTAAATTTCCAGAGTCTTCATGGCAATAGGAATAGAGGGTTACAAGAAAGGCTGACAAAAAGAACCAAATACAAGTATTCCATTAAAAATACAGCAACAGTGTAAAGCAACAGAGTTTACTATTGTGATGGTTTTAGCACGGCCGGCAGCCATACACCAAACAGCCACTTGCTCACCCTCCCACAATGGGGTGGGGGAGAGAATCAGAAGGGTAAAAGTGAGAAAACTCATGGGTTGAGATAAAAAAACAATTTAATAATGAAAATAACATAATAATTAAAATAATACTGATGATAACAGTAATAATGGAATATGGGAGTGATGCCCAGTGCAGTTGCTCACCACACACTGACCCACGCCCAGCCTGTCCCTGCCAGCGATCCCAGAGCAGAGACAGTCCCTAAACCCGAACCACCATCCCAGAAGAGTGAGAGAACCCAAGTGATCTGAGAGAATCCCCAGCTTTCTGGTCAACCCTCAATAATGTCCTGCCCATGCCGTGATATGATGTGGAATATCTCATTAGCAGAGCCAAGTGCCAATTTGGGGTTTGCTAATTACTGCGCTTCCCCCCTCCCAGTCCTTTGCACCTGCAGACTGGCAAAACACAGGGAGGTTGAAAAGTCCTTCATCTTCTAGAGACAACTGAAAACATCAGTACATCATCAACAAGCTTTATCTTACAAATCCCACACTGAAACCAAACCACAGCTATTCCAGCTACTGAGAAGACAATTAACTCCATCCCAGCAAAACCAGGAGACAATAGAGGAAAGGAAGAGAGAGAAATATCTGTCAGATATCCCAGAGAAAATCCACCACTAGGTAAAAAATGTTTTCCAGCAAATCTGCTAAAGCATCTTTCTTCTTCCACACTTATGGATGCCCTGGTCACAATGGGATCCCTACTCTAGGGACATCTTCCAACCTCCTAATTAATGACTTGCCAGAAACCTGCCAGTCAGACACAAGAGGATCTTGCCAAAAGGGATCTCTAGTTACACTGACTCACAAATCAGGGATCACAGTGCCCATGGTGATGCAAAAGAGCAAAACGAGACAAACTGGATTGGTCCTCTGCAGAGGACTAACAGCAGTGTGATGTGCACCTCGTGGGAGATAATTATTCTGCTCTATTTAGCAGCACTGAAGTCAGAGTTTGAATACTGTGCCTAATTTTAGACAAGGTGGTTTAAGAGGGAAAGAAAGTCCAGGGAAAAAAAAAAAAAGGTGACAATGGTACATTTACAAAATGTAAGTTCTGAGGAAGACTTGGAAGAATTTGCTTTCTTTGGGCAGTGAGTGGATAGGTGAGGAGAGGACAGGTCAGCAATCTTTAAATAAATAAAAGGATACAGTTGTGGTGGTTTGACCCACATCAGGACCATGTGGTCCTGCACTCAGTCCCACCACCCCCACCCGGTGAGATGGGATGGGAGACACAACAAAGGGGACACAGGGTTAGGAATGGAGCACAGGGAGGGCTCAGTCACCAGGGATGGGCACGGGCAACACAGACTGCACTTGGGGAAGAAAAAGCCGTTTAATTCGATTCCCAGTCAATCAGAGTAGGACATTGAGACACAACAACCACATCTGACAGCACCTTCCCCCACCCCTCCCTGCTCCCCGGGCTCCCAGCACTGTGCTCCCCATTTCTGTCCCTTCTCCCCCAGGGCACAGGGCACAGGGAATGGGGGTTCAGTTGGTCTCTGCTGCTCTTCCCAGCATGAAAGTCCAGGAATAGGATGCTCCAAAGCAGCTTCCCATGGTTCTCTCCACCTTCTTCTTTTCAGGACAGTCCTTCCCCTCACCAATATGGATTCCCAGAGGCGTTTCTCTGGTGCTCACTGGCCCAGCCTGGGCTGGGGGGTCTCCACCTTGGAGCCAGGGGAGCTTTTCACTCTCACAAGTTGGTCCCTTCCCCCACTACCAAACAAAAAGGCCTCTCCCCCCCATCACCTCTCCCAACACAACCCAACAGTCAAGAACAGCGTGGGGTTTTTCTGTCTGAAGAGACTGGGAAAGAAGCATTTGACTTAGTGACGGAGAGGAAAACCTGCCAAAACCAAGAAAAAAATCTTAATTATACAGTAAGAGAAATGATGGAGCAGCTATCTAAGAAAAAACCTTCCCAGAAGCTGTTCAAAAACAGTCGAGAAAACCAAGTGTGCTGAACATTGTAGGACTGTTAGACACCTCCTCAGATACAAGAATGGATTAGATCAACATGGTGAAGTCCGAATCAGTACTACATTTCTACACTGTCTTTTATTGATTTTGATGCTTTATGCTCTTATTTTTAATGGCTATGATTTCTAAAACGCCATATAAAAAGAATCAATCAAACAAACTGACACACCTGGAAATATCCAGAGACGATAAACTTTCATGCTCTGATTCCACAGGGAAGAGTCTTTATCACTTGAGTAGAAGAGTCTTTTAATTTATTAAAAGAGAGTTAAAAGAATAAAAAAAGAAACACACACACACACAAAATTACCACTGGGGAAGTACACATAATTTCCTTGCCTCTGCCAATTGTAACGTTGCAAATAAACAGTTGAGAGCTCTTGTTAAGCTGCTTTTTGGTTACAAGGGTTGTCAAAATCTCCTATCTGCATTTGGAGCTAAACTTATGAATAAAATGTGTTCTACAATTAGAGTTATTTCACGCCACTGTCAT